CGCTCGGCCCGGCCGCATCCCGCCCGCCTCGCGCGAGGAGAAGCGAAAGGGCCTACCCGCCAAGAGGCTGCGGGCCCGTCACGGGAGAAGCAGAGAGGCGGTTTCTCTCACCCAGCCCGTAGAGAACGCTCCTGAAGCACGGCTCCTACACGCCCTCATCCCCACTTTTTATTTATGCACAGGACTTCTAACCAGCTACTTACTTTTTCCTCTTACAGAGCCACTCACGGAAATCTCATTAATCCCAACGTGCCTCTGCGTCCTTCCTCAACGAACAGCATTTAGGTTGGTCTCTGGCCTAGGTGTACACAAAAGATCTCTGTAGTAGCACTGTGGTGGATTGCAGTGGTATTTTTGTCTTTCTATTTTCTGCTGCTTGGTAAGCTAGAGTCCTGCGAGCCTTCAGAGAAAGACCCCTCCTTCCTAAAGCTCCTTTAATGCTGCTAGTTGCAGTGGATTCTCGGGTATATTTTTTTTCTTTGTACTTCAGTTTATTGCTACAGCTGTAAAATCTTACCTACCTTTTTTTCTATTGCTTGGTTACTTACAGAAGTAGAATGCCTCTCCACACTTGGAAAAGGGAGTCAGAACTATGAACCAAAAACTATGGTCAGTATAAAAGTGATCCAGGAAGTTGCCACAGCAGAGGTATCACAAACAGGTTTTTTCCCCTGCCTTCACTGCTCCTTTTACACTGCATTCACTTACTAGTCCCAGTCGTGAAACATGCCTCTTTCAAAAGAAAGAAATTGAGGGATTGCTTCAGGTCATGCTAAACAGTTACATACCACCCACAAGCAATTAACTCTTTCTGATTTCCTCCTTTTAACTGAAATAGTTCTCCTCTTAAAATTACTGTAGAGGATTTTTTCCAGCTTTCTCCTTCTAAAGGAAAACAGAACATCAGGCTATTTTTCTCTGCATTTCCTGAACCAGACCTATTCACTATTTCTTACATGTATTCACTGAACTGCTGCTCTGAGCAGCATCATTTGTAACTTAATGTGGAAGGATACAATAGGAGAGAAAAGTGAAATAGGGATAATGGAGTCTCTCAGTGTTATTGTTCTTGTTTTCTGGCATGATCCTATCTCGCATTCCAGCTGCTACCTTAAACAGGCTTCTGCTCAGCTTGGAGGGCTATTACATGTTCCATTTTTGTGGGAGTACAACAGCTCAAACCCTTAAAACACCGTTCTGCAGTCTCTCCAGAAACTTTTATACCCTGATGCTTCTGCAGACACATACCAAGTTCATTCAGGGAACTGACTTGTCTCAAAAAATGAGTATATTTGGTAAAGATGATCTTCACCATAATGAACTCCCTGAATTAACTCAAGCAGTCACAACAAGCATTATCACCACTGCAAAGGAGAAGAGCTGGGACTACAGCAGACCAGATGTACGTCAGCTTGAGAGACTGGGGAAAAAAGGCCACAGGCTCCTTCGTTCATCCTGTGTAGCGCCTAGAAACACTAAAAAGCAGCAGACAGTTGCTCTGATCCTGTGCACTTGATCTGAAGCCAATTACCAGTAGTCCTAGACTTCCAGGTACAGACTTCAAAGAACAAACTGGGGATTTCAAAAAAAAAAAAAAAAGTAGTATATACAGCAAATGCTCCTTGCAGTAATTTCCAATTCACATGTAAGTACGTATGTTTCACAAGCACAAAAGTGTGTTGAATAACCAAGACATGGCTCCCCACATTAGTGTTTCACTTGCATTGAAGAATAGGCTGGAGTCCATCCAGCATAGAGAAGTTGGGAGAAATGCAAGCTGCAAGACTACAAAGTTTAAAATAAACTCAAACACAAATTCAAAACGAAGGTGGCTGTTTTAAGAAGGAGAGAAGAAAAAGGAATAGGCAGGTCTCCAAACTGCCAGGATGTTAAATTCTAGAGGACAATGGCCAAAAGATGGGGTACTTCTGTGCAAGTTGCTCTTTCACATTTCATGGCTGCACCATGTCTTAAGAATTCAAGAGAACCAACAACACTCAGAATTTTATTAACTAACATCTAGAATTGTTTTAGACTCTCTCCTGCTGTAACACTGCTTTGCCAGAATTAAATCTTAACAAAAAAAAAAAAAACCCAAACCCCAAAAAACATAATGGAAATCTTGGGGTTTCCCCTTTTAAGCTTGTCTGGCATAAAAAGTAAGCCCAGAAAGAGAAAACAAAATTATTTAATCTTCCCTACCACCACTACCTCTCCCCCATCAAGAATGACGGACATAGTTTTTGAGTGCTCACCAGGTGATTATAATTGATTTAATGTGTATCTGTTCTAAGTTATCATTCAAATTCTGAAAGTAATTATTCACTTGCTTTGGAAGTCTGAAGCTTCTCCGGCAGTGTTTTTCCAAGTTTTCTTTAAATAAACACCAGGCTTCCCTGTTTTACTATTCCCAATTCACAATTAATGGCCTGGTGCTACAGTAATAATGCCAGTAGTAAACGATTGCACAAGCCTTGCGGGCACTATCATCCACAACTCAGTTTCTCACATCAACCCTGAATTTATTCATCATCCAATTTAATAACTAAATCAGTGAGCATGTATAGCCACAGTCACAGAAGTGTGGCTCTGATGCCAACTCATCCATACATTTTTTCACATTCCTTGTATTTTTTCCTTTCATAGTGCACAAAAATGCATATACAAATAGCTCTTGACAGAACTCTAACTCAGCAGGGAATTAATTTACAAGACAGTAAAAATGGAGTATGTTGTTACTGTTAGCATATTATTTTCAGTCTTCTAAGGTCTAGCAAAATTAAGAACATGAAAAAAGCAGTCTCATCCCTTTCTACTGGTTTTTGAAGCATGTTCCAGTTGCAAAAAAAAAAAATAACTAGGTGGTTCTTTAACTGCCAAAAATACTAAAACTTTCAGTCCCAAAGCAGCGTTCCCAGAGAAACAGGTGAATGAACATATATTTTAAAAAGGAAGCATGAACAGAACATACTTTGAACACACTTACAAAGTTCTGATCTTCCAAAGTAAAAAGTGTATAGAGAATAAAAGCAGGTATCTATTTTTGAACTGCATTTCTTTAAAGTGTTCTCAGGCATCTCAGGACTGGTGCTGTTTGTAGGACAGTACTGGAGACACTGGCAGAACTGGTGATACTGGGATTGTAGTCAACACCTGATTCTGGAACACAAACATTTTAATCCTACCAAATACCCAAAGAAAGATAAGGAGAATGCTGACATACTGGATCCAGGCAAATTTAATCATTTCCCAAAATCCTGGCTGATATTTAAAGAAAGTCAAGGAGTGTTAATGAAGAAGCTTCCGATACTACCACTACAATAATGAAACAAAGGAACTCAGAGGTGGCAAGGCACAAAACTCGTCAGACATCAGTTTGTGTGGCAAATGCAATGCCTTTGAGCTGTGGAAACCCCTAAAAGCCTTTTACCATAGTATGTAACAAAAGCTGCAGAGAATGTCTGTTCTAGAAGACATTTAAACCAATTCTGTGCAATATGCCTATTTCGCCCCTGACTCACCAGAAAGTAGTTATTGGTAATACTCAGGCAGGTAAACAAACATAAGATTCTTTTAAACACAGGCTTGTTCCTGTCTGAGAAAATGAATAAAGAACATAATGAACAAAGAACTGTTTTGTAGAAAAAAAACCTTTCAGGTCAGTCCGTGCATGTAACAGATTTGCCACATCCACTGCAGGGGTTATTATTTGGTGAGCTTACCTGGCATACAGATTTCTAATGATCTGCTGCTTTAGGTGACAGAATACAGTATTGCGCTTTGCCAGTGGCATCCATTACAGATTGGGACAGCAGGTGCTGCAGGAGCAAAGCAAGACTTACTGAAGACATTCACTGTGAATGGCCAAGAAACTGCCTTAAAGGCCAGTTTAGTAAGGCTGAAAAGCAATGCAGGTTCCCAGCAGAGAAAGGCAAAAAGTGTTTATACAAGCAGAACCACCTGGAGGAATGGGCAAACAGGTATTCAGTTAACTCTAGAACTATAACATTTACTTAGCTAACAAAGGAAAAATTTAGCAATAGGTTTAGAAGAAAACCATTTCCATTTGGCCCATCTGTGAAGGCCCAAATAATGCATCAGTTACATCACAGTTTATGCAGTTTTCAAAGGATATAAGATAACTTCCACTGGGTAATGAATAGTGGCATTAATGATAAATGGTGTATCTGTTGCTCTTCCAGTCATCCAAACAGGGTTGGGATCTGAAAAGACTGTTGTCACTAAAATGGGGAAAGGAAACATCCAGGTTAAGGGGCTTTTCAGTCTTAATACAGAACTCAAATCCTCAGAGCACAGCTGCCAATATTCTAACTACTGCTGTCCTGTAATTCACAGCTATACATTCGGGCTTACCATTTCTATCCCAATAAGCTGCAATGATGTTTGTTAGATCATAGTCACGCGCAAAAGGACTTGTGCCATTGACCACAGACACCTGTTACAACAAGGAGATACTTTCATTATTTGTCCACTTTTCAAGAGAGTAATTCTGCCAAGTTTCTTATGCAAAGTAACCATGCCCTTGAAGGAATGCACATGAACATCAGACTGAACATCTTGGCAGAATAACCTCCTCCACCTTTCAGCCTAACAAAAACCAACCAGTTCCAGAGTTCAGTCTGTGCGGGAGTGCAAATAATTAGGGTGTCACCTATGGTACTAGGAGGATAAAGGGGAGGAATTGACGGGGGAGGGAAAAAAAAAAAGTTTCCTTACATTGTATCTGGTATCCAGTCCACAGTGGTTAAGTAATTGCCTCTGGTTCAATTTCAGGTCTCCATTCATATAGAGCTGAGACCCTGGCACAGGAGAAAAGAACTGAAGAAAAGCCATGCTCTGCATCACAAGTGTTGACATTCTCTGAAATGGTGAACACGAGAAAAGAGAATTTAGGGGGGGGGGGGGGGGGGGGAGTAACACAAGACACTTCTCTACTTCTTTGTTTCTACAGATTTTCTGCAAGTATTTGATTTTTTTCCTGACTCCCAAGTTTCAGATTGTCACATTAGTCTAAACAAGAGACCACCATATAAGAAATATGAATTACTTTTTTTTTTTTTTAAAGTGAATTACCTTTGTTGTTAGTTAACTAACTTTATAAATCAAAGTTCCACAGAAAATTCAGTGAAGCCCAACAGTCTGTGGCTAATGACAGAAAGATTTGACTTGCTGCAATATGTGAAAATCTGCAAAATGAAACTAAACACATTAATTGGAGACACACTTTAAAATACTCAGAAGTTAAAGCCAGCTAAGGACTCCTGCTCTGCAATAAGGACCAAACAAAAAAGTTCCTTAGCCCCCTTAACAACTCAATCTGAAGGAAAATTTTTGCATTGACTATAAAACAAAGGTGGTGTGAATATCAGAAGCCTCTGTGATACTAATCACTGACCTAATACTTCAGCACAAATTCAGGACTGTTGGGTCTTTACTCTGGGCCTCATAGATTTAAGAATGTTTTCTACATGACACAGCTATGCTTGCTAAGCTTGTCCATCTGCAATCAGCAAGAGTTTCTTGGATAAACTAAGCCTAATATCCCTAGTAAAACCACTCTTTGTCTGGCTGGCTGCATCCAGCACAGCTCTATACTACTGCTCCTTTCAGATGCATCCATGGGTTCTCTGTGCACTACTGTTTTACTCACTGCTTTAGATATTAATTGCACTGCCACTTGAGATACAGTGGCAGCAGAATTTTATTTTCCTGTCAGAAAGATACAGAAGATCCTGGCAGATATTACCACTGCTTCAAGAGCAGTTAAGTAGGCAGTTTCTATGGAGTTTTAGGCTGCTGGAACAGCCTGCCCCTCCACCTCAGAAAACTAACTGCTTATGTCAAGACGCAAGAATGTGCATCCTTCTGCCTACTGCAAGACTCTCAGTTATTTCCTGATGCCACCCACACTGATATCCACTGTTGTACATCTGTCCTCTGTGCTGCACTACAGCCCTAGAGAATACACATCATCACAAAAAAAAAAAACCAAAAACCCACCTAATGACACTTATCAAAATACACAACAGAGCTATACTAGGAATGCCCCAGCAGAGGAGCAGAAAATTAAGTATTTGTTAGTAAAATAAATCTTTTAGATAGGAATTTCAAATGTGGAAAGGTTCTTTTGTCCTCTGCATAACCACTACTGGAATATTACACTGAGTCTACATGTCACAACAAATAAAACTAAGAAAGCTCACATAAAGATGGTAGGAAAAGAGTAGAATCAGCTGAACACCAACTACATGCTCTGTAGGTTGCAGCGGAAGCTCCAATTTAAAATGCAACTGATCCATTTTGCCATCTTGATTTTTGTCTTCTTCTCTAGTCTAAAATAATCAGTAAGATTTTTTTTTTTTTTAAAAAACAGCAACTCCTGTTAGAAAGAAAAACAAAAAAGGTAAAACCCCAGGGGATCTCCACAACTGGGCCATGCACATACTAAGGAAGCAAATAGACTTCACAGTTAGGAAAGCAGTAAAAATCTGATTGACTTTATGGACACAGGACTAGAGACAAGCAAGAAGCCTGCAATTTTGTCTGTTACACCATGTCTCGCGTGCCCCCCAGGGAAGGAAAGCTCATCATACTCCTCATGGTCTCTTCTGCCCTATGCCATTCCAACCATGTCCCCTGCATGCTACAAAGCATGCCTTAGTGCTGGATCTTCTGTCACATCCTGTACAAACGTGTGACCAATGGTCAGGCTTTTTCCTCTTGCCATCGCAGCCTGCCTCTTAATGGCTGCCAATGTATGCCAATTCCTGGTTGTGAGCCATGGCTTGCTACACTTCTGTGCCACAAATGCCCAGTACTTCAGCTATTTGCAAACATAAAAAGGACTCATAACAGAGGTAACATAGGAAAATAACTGCCACTGTTGAATTCCAGAAGGAACAATAGCTGCAGGCTATGTGCTTTAGAAAACACATACCTGCTTTCAAATCCAGAGGCTACCTATCAACTTCTGCAAACTTCAGACCATGACGAGCCGTATGGCAGGGGGGGGAAGGGAAGGAGGGGGTGGGCAGACAACTAATTCGAGGAAAATAAATTGATGTATTCATTCAAACTACCAGCTGTGCTTAGGGACACGGTTTAGTCGTGGACTTGGCCGTGTTAGGTTAATGGTTGGACTTGATGATCTTAAGGGTCTTTTCCAACCTAAATGATTCTGTAACACTGAGATGGAGTAAAAATCCCTGGGCCAGTTAAAAATCACTTCTCCCAAACTAATTTTGCTGTGAGGTCATGCATGAAGCTACTGCTACTTGAAGGCAGCAGTGCATGACAGGCCACCTGCACACGGGCACCAACACCCATCCCCTGGGACCACTGCCGCTCCCCTGGTCCCGCTCTCTAGCCTTCCTTCCCACCACCACTGCCGGGCCCGCCCCGGGCAGGCCTACCGACAGGAGTGGGACCCGCAGCCGCTCCTCCTGGAGCCTGTTGAACGTTGGGAACGTGCTCCACGCCAAGAAGCTGCCCGGGCCGGGCCCGATGGTGGCCACGAAGAGCACCTCGTACCGGAACCGCACGGTGGGCTGCTCCAGGTACGCGCTCTGCTTCAGCCAGAAACCTGCAGACAG